TTTCGACTTCACACCTCTCTTCAGTTCTCTCGACTTCACACCACCTGAGTGCCCACTCTGCTTCCCCCATCCTCCATACTCCCGGCTTTTGTTCTCCTATCAGCTACTGATTTTCCTCTTTCTCACACCCGAAGAAGGCTCCACAGCCAAAACCTTGTGCTTCCTTTCTTCTCTTTTAAGCACGGAATAAACCTTTTCTTCTTCCTATTTAGCATTTGTCTGCCTTGCACAGGACATTGCAACTCTGCTCCTTCTACTCTACTGGTACAGAATTTTCTGTGCTTAAGAGTTTACAAGGAGTAACTATGATTAATTACAGCAGATTTGCATGGCAAAATTCAAGATTAATTATTAGGTTAAAGATTAATTTTTAAATTTGACAAATTCCACATAATTCTAAATATAAATTAAATCTGGTTTTATGGGTGAGCAAAGCAAACCCAAACTTTTTCAAAACAGTATTGAGACATTTCAATTTTCACATAATTTCAATTTTCATGAGGTATTTTCCTCCAAAAAGGACACTCACCTCTCTGGGACCCGAGAGGTCTCTCCCTGTCCTGCACTCTCTGGAGTGCTTTCATAGAGCAGCTTGTGTGTCTCAATGAAGTTCTTCTGCATAGCCGACATCTGGGCCATGATCTTCTGTCGGTGCAGCTTGGCTGCTTCTGCCTTCCTCTTCCTCTCAGCCTTCTCCTTGTCCTGAACACACTACCACATAGAAACACAGTGATAAGAGTAAGACCTGTGTTGGTCTCCTCAAGGCCACCTTTACCCCAAAAAACTAAACAGACAATTCCAAAGCTCATTGAGTCACAGGGATATAAAATCAGAAAATTAATGAGAAGGAAAAAATGACTACAAATGGCTGCCTTTTGTGCTATATATTTTAACTTCATAAAGAGAACCAAAGCATAAACAAAATCACACTGAAGTATTTCCAAAAAATACAGGCTTCCAAAATATAATTTTATGTATGAGCTTAATGATATTTTTAATTAATTCTGATTTTATCTTATAAAAGATTAAAAATACTTTTTCTTATTGTATGCAATTTTAAATACAATCACATTTTTAATCTGATAGTATTTACAAGAAAAAAGGTGCAACTGTACAACTGCAAAATGTACAAGACATGTGTCTATGCATTGAAAATATGAACTGCTATATAGATGAAGAAAATGACAAATCCTTTCAACTGTGACTTAATACATTTGAATTTTCTATAAGAATTTTATTGGTTTAATTATTAGCTTTAATATTTAATAATAATTAATATTGTAACCACAAGAGACTAATATTTGTGTTATGCATTATGACACAATAATATGCCTAACTGCTACTTAGACTCCATCAAAAATATCAGGGACAAGTAATAGGTTTATTCCATGTTGAAAAGAGAAGAAATGGAAGCATGGAATAAACCTATTACTTGTTCCTTTGCAGCCTATGCATGCTGACGCAGCTACCCACCTGAACTACTTCAGCCTACTCCTGCTGCGACCCACTATGCCTTCCTCTAAAGCTTTTTCTAGATCTCTTCTTCATTCCTTCTCTTCCTCTCTGGGCCACTTGGCCCCCTCTCTTACTAAACCAGCATTCTGTCTCTTCACAGCGATCTGTTCCAAGACCAGGTTTTCTAACCACCTACTAATCCTTTATAGATGTCATCGTTATAATATAATTCCTAATGGATTTCGCCTGAAATTTTACACTTTTTCTTTTGACTCTGACACCACACAGAGTAACACTCAGAGACTTCTACAAAACTTTTCTAGGAAACTAATGCTCTCTACCACTTTCTCTCTCGAACAACAGAATACCCATTCTGACAACAACATCAAAGAAGCAATATAAAAAATATTAGGTTATTTCAGACAAATTCAGCTTCATGCAAATACTGATTAAACCCTAAAGAATATACTAACAAGATAATTGTTTTGCTATTTCGATACACTTTTAATTGGAATTGGTCAAGAAATATCTAGAAGAAATCAGATGATGAAATTCACACAATTCACTGTAACCACAATTCACCATAATTCACTGCCATTTACCCTTGGCACCATCCAGATTTCTCACTCTCTTTCTAATATTAATAGTCCTACAATCTCAGCCTCAGTACCTCCTCTGGTTTGGTATGATCAACACTCATTGATGCAGAAGGGCTCGATTTCTCTCGAAGACATTTCACTGTTTCAAACATCTAGAAAAATAATAAAACATTTTCATATTTAAGTAATTTTTTAACATACAAATAACATAAAAGACATAAGAATAAAAAAGATTAAGAAGATTAACAAACACCATACATACATTTTATATAGGACAGAAATACTTAAGATGCAAGGACAAAGTATTAAAGTTCCCACATCAGCCATACATTAAGAATACTGTACTGGATCTGTTACACTTGGTGACATTCTCAAATTTAAGACTCATATCTTGAGACATCAATAGATATATTTTTAAAACAATTTCAGGCCAAACACATACCTAGACACCGTTACATTTGATAGCAGTCTTAATACCTTGATAAGATCCCTTGTAATATTCCCCATGAGTCCCTGCTAATAATACAATAATACAACGGGCAGGGCAGCATGAAGCACAGGTTCGGGCTTTGAAAAAAAGGTTATGGGTTCCAATGCTTGGTGGGACACTGCCGTTGTATCCCTGAGCACTGCACATCACTCAAATTAATAGGGTTAAATAAAGGATTAAAAAAGAACCATGAAACCACTAACAATCTATAAAAATGGCAATCAAACCAACAATGTTAGTTGGTAAACTGAATAGGCAACTGTGAAGGTTCTCAGTGTACCTGCAGTGTCCATTTGATCATGTCCTTCTGCGCCTCCAGAGGTGGAAGAGACTTCATTTTTTCGAGGAAGTTCAGCAGAGATTTGCCATGTTCCCTGCCAGTACCTGGGAGGGAAATTAAGGTATTATTAACATTAACAGCATGGGACACATTAACTCCTATTTAATTTAAACTTAAAATGTAACATTTATTCTACTCCTGTGCCATATGAACAACCATTACATAAAAATTAGGGAAAAAAGAAAGCACAGTATACCCACAACAGATCTTATTCTGAGATAAGCGTCTGCTTATAAAATAAGAAAAAGCACATTTGAAACAAAAAATAATGTACGACACACAAACTCAAACACCCACTCACACCAGAGAGAAGGCAGTTTGTATGTGTGAGGTGTTTCACTTTTTATAATTGTATAAATTCAGTGGAGATAGTTATTAAATAAATCAATGATGATAAAGAAATTGTTTCAGCACATTTGATGAGCTACATTTGTGGAGCTACATTAGAAGCTCACTACAGCATGTTAACAATCCTCGAAGATACTAAAAACAAACTTTTCCTTCAAGTTAAGAAATGCTTCTTGCACATTAATTTGGAACCCCAAAAAACTATTTGATTTATGTCTTATATGAAAAAGGTAACAGGAATCAATGCTTGTCTTGAAAAAAGTGTCACTAAAATGTACATTCAAAATAATGAGGCTGCCAGGAGCATAAAAAATGCCAAAAAACTCACTCATTGCTTTCAGACAGAAGTCAAAAGCTACTTCTTCTTCACTGCTAGCCTCAAGCTGTTGTTTTTCTTCTAGTAATCCTTGCGCAATTAGATGGAGTGCCTAACATTAAATTGAAAAACAGTTAAATTAGCAAAGCCTTTTTAATAAACCTAGAGCCATTAAATATTTAGCAACACACTTTTTAACTCTGAACTCTATTACAGTAAAAACTATTCTAAAGGAGATTTTGCCTATAACATGAAAGATACTGAACTTACCCTCACAATAATGAATTGCTTATGCTGGGTGTATATGTTTCAAATGCATTAGCTAACAAATCATAAAAAATCCAGTAAAATGATATATAACAAGTAGTAAAATAATAAAATGTAATAATGTATACTACTTAGGTTTAATATTCAGGAATATCAATGGTGCCCCAAAGAGTAAGGTCAATTGCCTATTGATGAGTGTTGATTTTGTTGCTTGCTTTAGCAAATTTCATGCAGAATATTTACACATGAAATTAAACAGCTTGGAAAGGCATGGAAAGATTTTCAAAAAATAAGTCAAAAGATCCAGATATCAGATTTATATAGTCTATAATGCATATATTAAAGACTACAGCATATATTATTAGTCATATGAAAGTATGTTTTGAGGCCAAAAAACATCATTTGTGATTTAACAGACACTGGCACTTATGGGCACCACATAATTTGTTCACTAAAGTGAGGGTTTACTGTACTCTTATATTACTTGAAAAACTTCAGTGGACCATTTGAGTAACACACACACACTGGACCAAAGGTAAACTTATATAGAACTGTGTAACAAGTTGTTTCATTGTTTATAAATTTGAAATCAACAGTACAGAGGAAATATTAGCCCCATCCTAAAATACATAGCATAAAGCAGATGTCATCAAGAGAACAAAACTATACCCTCTGAATCATGGCTTCAGTCCATAATGTTGCCTGATCTTCCACCGCTCTTTGCAGTACTGTACGAAGTACGTGGATTAGGACATCACATTTGAGAAGATTTACAATGTTTGCAAAGGCAGGAGAGAAAGCAGGAGGAACTGGAGGTGGGAGAGCTGTAAAACAAAAAGTTTCACAACTGGAATCAACGTTCCAGAACTTACAGTTTCAAAAGCAGGACATTCTTTTAACTAGCATTTTAATTAATACAAATTGTTGCAAATTTAACTTGTTTACAGGTTCAGCACTCACGCTAAAGTGTAATAAAGACCTATGTGGGATGACATTAATCATTGATAAACTGCTATGAAAATACAGAGCCTTTGCCTGATTGTAGTTTGTTCAGTAAAATTGTTTCAGGGATGTTGAGCAGTAGTCCAAGGTAAAAATCAACTTGTTCCATCAACTCATTCTCGTTTTGACCACTGAATATTAAGGGCTATGCCTTAATAATAAATATTCTAATAATAACATACTAATATTAATGCAAATCACCACATTTGTGGACAACTGTATTTAGTCGCTAACATAGCTAATAGTTATCCAGTTAAAATTTGTTTACCTTTATCATTGCTCTCCTGATTCCTTAGTTTCTTTTGAGCATCTTCAGCCTGAATTAAAATTAAAAAAAACAAACTTGAAGTCACAGTATATGGGTGCACAGTTACAAGCCTACACATGAATATCTAAGATGCAGTAAGACTACCGTTGAAAATCACAATAAGAAAGCCGAAAAGGAGTGATTTGAGGCGCAACTGTTTAGCTAAAAGAAGAAAAACCCAACAAATATTGTTCTTTAAAAAGTAACTACAGCCTGCACTGCATATGATACTGATACTAACACACATTGCCTATTTAAAGCTAAGTCGCCATTTAAAACACACAACATACAGCAAACAATACATACTTTATGAGATATAACAAGAAACTCATTAAAATAGTTAATTTAATCAATCACAACACATTTTAAAAACCAAATCTATCGCATTTTTTAAAAAAACATTTCCCCTCTTTAAACACATGAAGATATGGCTGCCATATTTTATATATTCTTGTGTTTCCCCACCACAGTGCTAGAATTGCAGGACCTAATTATTGTTTTGTGTTTTGGGTTTGAAAATATAGCTTTTAGAAATCTGACATTTTTATTGCTTTTTTTATAAAAAGCCAGCAGTCCATGTCAGCTTTTAGTTTTTTTTGCTTTCACACAAGTCATTTTATTCTTTTTTGTGACTATTTGTGATGCTGCCTTGTACTATCCTTCTCACAACTTTCCCTACACTGTCATTCTGAGTTCCAAGCGAAGCACTGCAAAAACTTAGGCAATGTACTGTAGCTTAATTGTCTGTTTTCTTACGGGGAGTTGACAAACTCTAAGCTTATTAACAAATCATTCAACAGCAAAAGGCAGTTTGGGCATCTTTTTTGGAAAACCAACACTACTGACAATGGATTAAGTAGGAATGGTCTCTTCCCTTACTAGACCTTAAACAGCAGCAGTGCATAAGGTGGTATGAGAGGCTCTGTAAACTATAGAAATATAAACTGGCTAAAGGTAATCAGGCAGTGTAGTGATTTAAACTTTTTAATTTACTGAAATAATTAGAAACTGGGACAGTAAAGTCAGGGATTAATTTGTGGTTACTGGGACTCAATCAAAACAATGGGGACATATTGTAAGCATGAATTATAAGAATCCAATACGCAATTTTATTAGTCTAATAACAAAACATGTATAACAATATAATAATAATAAACTTTATTTTATATAGCGCCTTTAAAGGTGGCTTCTCAAAGCGCTTTACAGGATGACAATAACAATAAATAAGAAGACTACAACAATAAATAAGAAAATTTCACAAGATAGGACACAATTATAATTAAATCAATACAACAATAACAATAGAGGAGACCGTGGAAGATGGTATTAAGAAGAGCAGAGGGGTGAAGAATGGAACCAGTTAAGTAAAGGCTTTTCTGAAGAAGAAGGTTTTGAGTCTGGATTTGAAGGAGTTTAGAGAAAGTGACTCTAATATCCTTGCAAAGAGTTCCAGAGCTTGGGGGCATAGCAGGAGAAGGCCCTGTCGCCCATACAATGTAGACGGGCTTGGGGGACAGTAAGGAGGGCAGAATTTGAAGAGCGGAGGTTGTGAGGTGGGGAGTAGGGCGATAAAAGTTCAGACAGGTATTGAGGTGCCAAGCCATGTAAAGGCTTGTAGGTGAGCATGAGGATTTTAAAGTCTACGCGGAATTTGACCGGAAGCCAGTGCAAGGACTCCAGGATAGGAGTAATGTGAACACTTGCACTAGACCTGGTCAGGATTCTGGCTGCTGAATTTTGGACATACTGCAGCTTGTTCAGAGTAGATTTAGATACCCCAGGGAGTAGAGCATTGCAGTAGTCAATTCGAGAGAATACAAATATGTTGATCAGCTTTTCAGCCACAGTTAATGAAAAATATAAATATGTAAATATTTTTATTAGTCAAGACAAATCAATATGGACTCAATATATAAAACACATGGTCAATCAATATATTATCTGATGCTGTTACACAACAACCTAGAATTATTAAAAATATATACCAAAATAGGGTTAAAATACAATAACCTGAATACTTGTTATTGCAACCCACCTCATAATTTAATCTCAAACTACTTCAAAATTCAGATGCTTAAAATGCTAATGTTAAATTCTTTCCTGAAGTAAACTTTACCAAATGCTTGCTTGACATAAGTGTTGAATTCTGGAGTACCATCATAGTGATCAAAAGAAGAATGCTTGGCCAGACCATACTTATGCCGTGCTTAGCTACATGCTGAGGTTGGCTTCTCTATTGGAAAATGCACAGGAAGTCTGATTTGGGTCTGGCCACAAGTGAGACTGAGATGGAGTGAAACTTTAAATGTCTGCTTGCCCATATTTTAAAACTGCTATTCGGAGCATTCTGTGATATTAATTAATGTTGACAACAGTCTAACTGTACTATGGTGCTATCTGGTAAAACTACAATTTGGTCCATTTCGCAAATCTTCAATTGCAGAGGAAATCAGGGGCAGAATTTGGTTTATGTATGGTGTCTCAAATGATTATATTGCTGTCAAGTTGCAAGTTTAGAAAATATCCTTAACTGTTGCACACACCCTTTTAAGTCATGTTGTTACAGGTGGACATTGGTCATGACATCATCATCAATCATCAGGTGTAGTAGCCATGCCCATGTTGCATATTCCTCACTGGCATATCACTCAGGTGCCAAAAGTGGATTCGTGACAGATGACCTCCATCTGTCACAAGTACAGATGTCTCTCCATCTTTTTGAGGCAGACTAAGAGACTTCAAAGTGGGCCTTTCATCACTGAAATGTTATGATGAGTTTAATTTATGATGTTCTGGTTCATATTAACAAGAAAGCCCATGCTAATTGTCAGTGTTCCAATTCTTTCAGTGTTCCAGTGTACCACAAACATTTTGTGATACAGCCTGTTACCACAAAATCTACAAGCAGTATTGATTTATTACAAGACATTTTGGTTTGCTTTGCATTATTATTAAAAGCTTAAATGGTTTAATAAGGTTTTTGCAGCTGCATAGACTTTAACCATCACCTAAATCCACTAAAATACTGTGACAGGAAATGTTTTAGGAGTACAAGGTTTCACTGAGTCTTAACATAAACAGACATACCTTGCTGTGCTGGGATTTGGAATAGTGGTAGAAAAAAGGGTTAAATTCTTTCAGACATTCCTTCCTCACTTCATAAAGACCATGGCCAGAAACTCCAGGTTTCCTAGACAAGAAAAAGGTTATCATGCTCTAAATTTCAGCTTATATAATCACATGACCAGGAGCACTTGATTATAAGGAGAGATGACACTGGGGCTAATCTACTATGTTAAACACAGTAACCACCTGTATAAGAATTATAAGCATACTGTATTACAGTGAATTAACAGCCCCTGGAATTAGCAATGACCTTGAATAAATGCTACACTTTATGAGATATAAAAAAAATGCCACCTTTGACTTAGGAGAGCAAGACAAGTTGAGTATGTGGAAAATCACAGTATTTCAGCTGGCCATTAAAACTAATACCAAGCCATTAATGCAAAGAAAAATTATAAGTTTTTTTAAGGTGTTTAACATATACAATTTTCTAATAATTTTTATTTTCAAACATTTAAGGGTAATTAAAACAGCACAAACAAAAACTTACTTAAAAGTAGCTACTTTGTGGATGACACTTTCCAGACCAGTTTCATTGTTTTCCTGTTAAAGAAGACATTTTTCCTGTATATGATACTTTAAAAATTCAGTCTGAACCATGATGAAAGGCCACCTACACTGTCACGAGCATCTACAATAACCATTCAATCTTTTCCAGTGCAAAAACTGATTTTTACAAAAACTCAAGGAAAATATTCTTCAGCACATTTTAAGCTTACTTTCAGCTTACTTCTATATGGTATCTAAACATTTTTCTGATTACGAAGTCCATTACATAATTTCATATTTTAAGGTAATAGAACTATGAGAAATAGAAATGGAAAGTGTTCCAATTTAAAACAAAAGGGAATTTAAAAAATAAAGTCTCAGAAAGTCAAATAATACATACTTTAACCTGTAGGAAAATAAACCTTTAGCACTTTGTATACATTATGTCAATATTTGGCGATATTTTAATTAGACTGATACTATAGGTTTATTTGAATTCTATTATAAATATGTATAGAGAAAATATCACAGTTTTGTACAATGCCTGATTACTGTCTCTAGTACATGTTTTAATAATTTGCAAATTATTTCCTACTATTATTCCAACTATTATTTGCAAAGGGTGTTCAAACTATTTTATTTTAAAAAGTGGAACACTACCACTTAATGGGATGGGGATATAAAATAATAAGCCACTGAACTCACATTCTCGGGCAAGGCCTTGACCAGACTGCTGTGTGCCATGGGCTCAATACAAAGCAGGTGGATCACTTCCCTCATGATGACATCCTCCTTCACCACACCGGAGATTCCTGGGACAAATCTCTCACCTGTGGGTGACAGGTAAAAATCAGTTTTATTCCATTTCAACTATAGTACCTCAACTACTATAGTGATTCAGCATGTGAAGTCAGACTGCAATTATGTTACCAAAGATATTTCTAACATGGGAACTATAATGTTTCATCAGTTTTACTGACTTGCCTATAATGATGATGAGAAGGTGGAGCATTTCTTCAGTCAGATGGTTCCACTGCTTGACAAGTTCCTGGAGGGATAATGCAAAAATAATTGATTATATAACATAAATAACAGGAAACATAATTAAAGTATCCAATCACACCTATATGGTATATAACTGTAATGAATACTAACGACTATTTACAGAAAAAAATAATGAAATAAAATAAAAAAATAATATATAAACAGAATAATGTACACACTGAAACTGAACCCTTCTGAAATTCATCTGAAACCTTTAGCCATTGTTAAGTAAAATACATTGAAAATAACATTGCTCACCTTATCTTTAGTAGACACGTTCCCATTAAAAACATCAAACAACTCAAATCTCTGAAGAACCAACATCACAAAATCATCAGGATCCATTTGGGAAGCAGCAATCTGTAAGAATGTATTAAATATGGTTATATTCTAATTAAGGACTGTATCTCTGAAGTGGTTTAAAAGTATCTTTATTTTAAAAACTGAAAAAATGCCTATAACTTCAAATATTCAGTAAAACACAAGACAATCTACTTGAGAGAATGAAGACATAGAAGTAAATGGGAATGTTATAAGTTGTATATTCCAGAAATGTAGAGTACTATATGAACTGGGAAGATTTTTATTGAATCTATAAATGTTATTCTCATTCTTATTGAATAGAAATGTGATTAAGCAGTATTATGGTTTAGGAACTTTTTAAATATAACGTTATAGAAATATGTATATTATGCACCCACATCATAGCCATAGATTTTTCTAACATTTCCAGTTTCTGTTGTAACACAATTCAGATGTACTTAAGAAATCTTGAATATTAAAGAATACTCCAACAGTTAAGTATGGCAATATGTTTTACTTAGGAAATGCATGCCAGACTCGGAATTTTAACTTTTTGCTTGCAAATTAACAGATTCTTAAAAAGGCAAAAGAATAGAAGTAGTAATGTACCTGCAACATTATGATGTCCTTATCAAACATTTCATCTCTGCATTTCACATCTTGGTAATAGTATACCTAAAATGCAGTTGTTAGATAAACACTTAATCAGAAAAGTCTAATCAAATTAATTGTATATAGTTCCCTTCTTGCCAGAGCATATAAGAGTATTGTGCAAAATTACAAACCATATAATGTAAGCATATGCAAAAAAAAAAACAAAACCAATTAATAACACAGATAATGTTAAAACCGTTTCAAGTATAAGGAATCTAGCTTCTCTGTTATCCACTACTGTACTGTAAGAAATAAAACATTTGACTTGCTCAAGATTGATTTATGTTAAAGGTTGTGTGCCAAGCAATCACAACTGAGACACCTGTAGTAACAGCAATGATGGTAAAATGTAAAAATGCAGTTTTCCAGCGACTATGGTATGCATACCAGAACACCAGGTCATTTTAGCAAGAAATCTAATAGGCAATGCCGAACGAAAAAATAATCAACACAGACCCCAACTTTACAAAGACAAACCTTCTAAGACATGGTGCAATATGGTCACTTCAAGATTTCTGACATTTCCACATTTTGCACATTTCATTATTAGTTGTGTGATCAAATAATTCAGGGTTAATTATAATGTATAAGATCCAACTATACATAAGGAATTATTTTAATACAGGCTGATAAATCACTAAATCATAAAGTACTAAAGTTAAACTACAAAGCATTTCAGAAATGTACACCTTTTCTAATACAATTACACATTTAATATAGTCTAAAGAAGAAAGGTAGTATGATGAATGTCTATCTTTTAACTTGTGCACAAATCAGTGTAGAGTGCTATAGTGCTCTCTCTCACCTGACTGACAAGAGAAAGCCCATTTCTCCTCCACATCTCAGCTGATACCTGTGCTGCCAAAACCACACAGCGCAGAGGGTACTCCATGAGTAAAGCAAAGTTGCAACTCTCCTGAAATACAGACACAGAATCAGCAATGACAAAGATCTCACAGCCTTAAAACAACATTTAATGAACTCACTTGCTACGTGAAGAAAGCTTAAACTTGATCTTAGCAAACGCATTCATGAAAGGGAAGATCCTGCAACAAATGGAACATCCCATACATCAGACTTTGCTGACAGCAGTAAGGCAGGCACCAGTACTCACTTCATCAATGTACTCGTGAACCCTCGCTATTGTGCCAGTTCTGCAGATATGGACATATAAACCTAGAAGCCAGAACAAAAGCACAATCTTATCAGACACCTCTGATATGTCATCACTTAAAGAATCTTAATGATAAACTTAAATGAGAGTATTAAAAGAAATTAAAAAGAAAATCTTACTCTGTGTGTGTTTTGGCTAATGAGACTACAAAGAATTGCATACATTTATTATCTTTCACTCAGAGAAGATCTAAGAAATAACTACAACTATAGTACTCAAATACTAGTCTACAAACAATACACAATAAAAACATTACAAATCTCAATCCTGCAAAATTTTTGTTTTTAACAAGATTCAGTGTAATCCAAAACGCTTTACAAATTAGGCTTAGTTTATTTGGTCTAAACACGAGAGTAGCATATTTTAAAAACAAACTAACAAATTAGGAATCTGATTAATTATAAAATAAATTAAATATTTCTCATTGACGAAAATACACTCATTGTCTTATTGAGTAAGCAGAAGCTAATTTTGCACTTTTAACATGGGTAAGAGAAAGTGAATATGAGTCCCTGGTGCTACTCAGAAATCTGCTACTCACCAGCCAGCAATCTGGAGATAGGAAGGTGGATGCTCACAGGTTCCTGAGACACTTTGTAAGGTCTTGTGCGCAAAATGTGTTTACACATATAAAAATCTGTGGCTTCGCTGTTGAAGGTCTGGTTTGTACACTGCATCAAAGCAATGTGGCTTTCTTTGAAGGCTTGTAGAAGAACTTTCTCCTAAAACGCAATGATAAAAAATGTATGTATGTATGTCATAAAGGAAAAAATACAAACTGGTTGAGCATTTTGCACTGTATCAGGAAATCCTGACATTCATATACTCATATCTTTTTAAGAAGATACAAAATAAGAAAACCTTTTCTGACTTACAAAAAATGTGAACAGTATAAAATTCAATATTTAGCTGTCTAGCTTTTGCTTTTCTTTTCACTTTAATATGAGATTATTGGATAGTTATGTATTGACAACTGTGAATACTAACATCATATGCACACCAGTCCTGGAACATGGAGAGAATGTGCCTGAGTTGTATCTGAATAGAAAATCCTGCTTCCCATTCAGGTTCAACCTCAATATGCTGACCAAACTGCCTCTTCACTTCTTCCATTCCCTGAAAGACACCAATCTGAGTTATAACTTCTTCATTTAAGTAATACCAATACACAATACAGCTGTATAAGAACGTCGTCTTAAAATAGCACTTTGAGACAAAATGTACAATATAAAATGAGTATGATAAAATTTATGTCATAGAGAACATCAGTACATTAGTACATTAAACCAAGATGTCATTTATCCATTCCTCACCTCAAGTCATTAAATAAAAAAGCAAATCAATACAATCATATAAAGGACTATTAATCTAGCCTGTTTTAAAATTGCTCATGAACAGAATTAAATTCTAGCCAGATTACATACAGTGCTTCAATTTCTGTTAGATTTTCACCTGGAAGGGATTATTCAATTGAATTCAATCTTCAATAACCAAAAATAAGATGTAGATGTTTTAAAGAAATCTGCACAAGATTGCTTAATTCAACCTTCATATAAGCTACAACACAGAAAAAAATGTAACTGGGCATTACAGTTTTTAGCATGGCAAAATATATTCACTTGAAACCAAACCATGATACAGTGAAATTATTTCTGCTTTTCATGTCAGTCTAAATGAACAAAGGTACCTGCATGCAGGCCAGCATTGCCAAAAATCTTCTAAATCCCTCAAGGAACTGCTGTCGTAGTTTCTCAGTCCATACTGATGGCTTGCTGATCAAAATATATCTGCCATAAAAACATTGTGAACAGTCAAAACACAGTATGCCAAAAATGGAAAAATGAAAAACCTATGAGTTAAAACGTGTTCAAGCAATGTTTCCTAAAAAACTGGAAATATAGCACTTACTTGAGATCATGAAAGACAACCTGAATCCTGAAAAACTTGTCTGAGTTGTATCCCTGGAAATGAAATCTATTGTTTCCATCGAGATGTTCGCTCAACATTTCCATCACAGTGTCAATGATCACTTTTATGACATTCCCTTCTTCAATCAGCTGTCTAGCCTGCAAAGAATCCCAGTGATGACAACGTTTCAACACAAAAAACATCACAAGCAACACAAACACTAAGATAACACTTTAGGACCATGTCATTTCTTTGTAAAAAGCTGAAGAACATAACAAAACCACAATCAAATAAATAACAACTTAATTAAGAGCATGCATGCAAGTAAATATATTATATTTTTAACTTGGATGTAGCTGATAATTCTTTCTTTGCATTCAATAAACAATACAATTGTAGTAAGATGCAATTAGGAATAATTTTTTTTAAAAAATCATGTCAATCATGAAAACTAGAAAAATTATTTTCTCACCAATGTAGGGACAGTGAAAATCTGCACAGATAAAGCTGTTACTGAAATACTCCGCTCATGGTCATCATTAATGAAGTCCTTCTGGAGCTGCTTATAATGCTGTGAAAAATCGAATTCAGGGATTAACACTTTTTTTCAAACAACTTCTCACTTCCCAAGTTACACAAAAAATTACTTAAACATAATAATACTGATGTGTACAGGAACAGCCAAATTGAGCCATCTCCTTGAAACATTATATTGAGATTCCATCAGTAAAATGCAAGTGTATATGATGTATTTGTTGCTTAAATAAATTAGAACAAGAAAAACTATGAGAGCTTTGCTACTGGATATATCAAAAAACAAACCTGTCCAAAATGACTGCAAATTTTAAGCTTTATCATCTTCTAGTCTGATCCTGTCAGATCTCAAAAGCAAAGCAAGATTGGTGTAGTTCAGGTGGGTAGCTGCATCAGCATGCGTAGGCTGCAAAGGAACAAGTAATAGGTTTAGTCCATGCTAAAAAGAGAAGAAAGAAAACACAACTTTTTGGCCGTGGAGCCTTCTTCAGGTGTGACATCCGACACCTGAAGAAGGCTTCACAGCCAAAACGTTGTGTTTTCTTTCTTCTCTTTTCAGCATGGAATAAACCTATTACTTGTTCCAAAGCAAGACTGGTATTAGTTGACCTCTGAGAAAACCTAGGCTGCTGAAGCAAGTGGTGTTGGTGGGTCATAAATGGCCCAATTTCCCAATATGGTGACCAGCAACACTGTTGCAGGGGGAGCTGTCTTTCACATACAGATGCAGCATTCAAAATGCGTGGGCGATACCCCATTATTTTCCGGTGCGCTTTACGCAGT